AATCATATCACTCTTGTGATAATTAAACATAGTGAAATTTAAAAATATCATATGCTCTTTACTTAAGAGATTATTTTTTGAATGTGTGTGCCTTTAGCTTCTCCTCTTTTGGGGTTTGTAAATTATTGCTTTAACTAATAAATCAACTTCTGTTGGCATCAAGAAAAAGCCACAAATTCTCAGTCACACGAATACTTGTATTAACTTTAGGTGGCAAGGTCTTTGAGGTGTGGGCTGCAGGGGTGGCCCTTCATGATAATCTAAGATAGGTAAAGTCTACCATTAGATGGAAGGGCAACACAGCTTTCAGTGATGCCCACTGAGAGGACCAGAGACAATGGACTCTCACTGTAATACATTAAGTTCTATCTGAACATCAGGAAACATCTTCCGCTGTGAAAAAAAGTAAGGTCAGGTTTACTGAGTGTTGGCACAGACTGTCATGGAGGCTCCCTCCTTGGATATGCTCAAACACCTTCTTCAACCAGAAAAACTTTAGTTTTTCTTTTCTTTTCAATCACTCATGTTCTCTGAAATTCAAGCAAACACACTGACTTTGTGGTCAGTGGTTTCACCATGGTATTCACGGTGGTGAGGGCATTATCATGTTGCCAACATCTGAAGTCTCTTTGTTGGAAGGAATATGGTGCTCATGCTGATGATTTTCTCTTCCACAATTCATTTTTGTATTCTTTTCCACATTTAGGGCCTTTTACAACTTTTGTTTCTTAAGTGATCTGAGCTCCAGACTTCATCCAAGTTTACTTTGTAGCATGCCTTTTATATATGTCAGATAATGTTTCTTTGTGTCTTTTGTTACCCCTAAAACAAGTTTGTCCTGCTCTAGACCTGTGTTACTTTTTAAGTGATCATTACTGAGCTGGTTATAGATGTGGGGTCTCCAGTACTAGGGGAAACTCAGATTTGGCAGCTCGAAAGAGGTAAGGCTGTTGGAGCTGATTTCCCTCACTCCACATCCCCAACTCCAACAGTAGTGAGGTTGAGTGGGATGAGCCTGGGCAGGGTGCAGAGGGGGGCATATGTGGCCCGAAGTTTAGAGTCCGGCTAGCTGAGGGCGAAAGGCCGACGCCCCTCTGCAATTCCTGGCCAGCACCCTTCGGCGTCTGATGGCCTCGGGCTGTGCTGGCTGCGGACTGGCTTACACCGCTGGTATTGGGGAGGAACGGAGCTGACCATTTCACCAGGGGTTAAACATCGGTTTATTGAAGGTGTTGCGGGCTCCAAACGCGGGGAAACCAACCGGGAAAAAGTTTTCCCATAGGGGGTGAAACAGGATTATAAAGGAGGGGGGTGGGTACAGGCGGAACCAATCGGGAAAGGTGAGGGGATGAACTTCACAGAACTGACACTCCATGGAGACCAATAATCAAAAGGTAAAGGAGGTGTCCTGGGACCCCAGCCAGCCACCATCTCCAGAGAGGAGAAGGTTCTCGAAACCTGGGAGGAGAAGGGAGTGATTGACTGGGCCCAGGGAGGAAACAACTTTCACTTATAAGGGAAACCAGGGGAGGAGCAATTACATATCAGCAACTATGAATAGCGGTTACTATAGCAACTTAGCTGACAGGCTAGCAGTGGCGGGAAAAACTGGGGGAACGAAACCATTTTACACATAATAGGGGAGAACAATACATAAATTGGGGGAATTACACAAGAAACTTAACAACACACTACAACAGCAGGGTGTTCCTCAGGAGAATGTAATTTGGATTCCTGCCTCCCTGTGTCCCTGTGATCCTCTGATCCTGTGGAGGCAGGCCTTTAACAGGGTGATGACTCCTGTGGTAGGCCTTGGAGGAACTAGACCAGAATTTTAGCTCACCAATCCACTGTTGTCTCTGTCCTCCTTTGTGGGTGCAAATGAGCTTTTTCTACACAATCTCACCATCTTGTCACCATTCCTTATCATCACACAGTTGCACTCTCTGTGCTGCATCTGATGTCTCTGATTCTGAAAACCTCTACTGTCCTTCCAGGCAGAAATACCTCTTTCTACCTGGAAAAAATGCTTGTTACCTATATGTCAAACTCCAGTACCACACAAATATATTAGCAGCAGTAAACCAGATTATAATTGGATAATCCGTAGTTAGAGAGATGCTTCCAGAGTGAAATCAGGTAAGGCCTGGAGACAGGTCAAGAGAAACACACTCAGAACGACTTGACAAGCCTTTTTCCTGAGCCTGGGTAGACTCGGGACAAAGTTTATGGCCTGTTACTAACACTGGCAATACTGTATTATGAGGCTACATGGTTGCACTTCATCACAGCCAAGCAATTAGGAACATGGGGGTCCAGTCATCCAAACCACATCTTTCAGTCCACATCACTCAGTAACACCCCTTTGGATATACACTCTGGAAAAACTTCTAACTGGGTAATCAACTATTCATGACTTTTCAGCCTAGGGACTCTCAGAGCACTGCTTTGTGATACACAAAGAATTTCTGAAATCTCCTGAATGTTGACTTTTCCCCCTATATCCTCATGCTGTATAAAGTTCTCCATGCACTGTAAAGGCCATATTCCCTCCTGCATTTTGGCCTTTGGAAAACAAATCTGCATATAGATGGGTGAAGACAAACATGAATTCCTCTGCTTGTGCATAACTTGAAGATTCAAAGATTTGTGTCTTCCTCAGTGCAGTGCTGTAGTTAATGGCAGCAAATTCAGAATATATGAATACCAAGGAAATTCAAAGAATTTCACTACAAAGGTGTAAATCTCCCTTACTAGAGCTGAACAACATGCCTTTATCAGACAGTTGTCTATTTTTACCTATCCATGTAGACAGATGTGGGTCTGCAGATACACAGCACTAGGATGTGTTTTTCTTCCAAATTACCTTTCAAAGTGAGCAGCTGAAGGACCATGTCCATATCTGGGCAGTAGATGGAATAACTGGGCATTTATAAATCACTATTTATTGCCAGCATGCCTCATAAAAATCCTGTGTTTCCATCAAACTGTCTGAAGAAATACTAGCAACTGCAGTCCTGGTCTCTGGACAGCCACAAGGACAGAAACTACAACTGTTTTGATGCTCAAGGACCCACATATTAAAAGACCAGCAAACAATACTGCTAATTACCAGTAAGGTGGCAACTACTGATTCCTTTCCTCATTTTTCAGCATTTTTCTTCTCAAATGTATTGATGGGTGATTTAAAATGTTAGACAGAAAAGGAAATGGCTTGTGGGAATTTGTAAAACACCTTCCTACTTGCTAAGAAGATCTATGAGCAAAAACTCTAACAGCAGACTCATAACAGAGTTTTCCAGAGCTAGAAGAAAGATTACAATTCTAACTCTGCACTTATATAAAATGAGCAGAAAAATATGTGCAAAGATCTTTAAATAGGAGTTGATATTGCCACAAAAACTCCAACTTGGAATTTGCATTTGCAAAATTTTTTGTCAGTTAATAAGCCTTCTTAAAATGGGCACTGATTATTAACTTTAAAAAAAGTTGCACAAGTAGAAATAATGCAATATCCTATAGAATGCCTATGAACTAAGTGGAAATTCAAAGTTTATAAATATTGTCAGTGATTTTGATTGTTTCTAATGCCTACATCTGAACCTTAGAGTAGACTTGCTACTTTGTCTGTCACAGGACTATAAGAAATTGACATATAAGAGGACCTATTTAACTTTTCATAAGTAATTTTTGAATAGCTTTAAAAGCAAATTAAAATACAGACAGTTTTTTCTCTTTGAATAAGTGATACAACAAGGCATTTTCATCTGCTTTGGTCAAGTCACATCAAATTATGTCACATCACAGAATATGTTTAGCCTTATGTAATGCAATACAAGTGAAATGTCTGCATCAAAATTTAAAGGAGTATTTTAAAACAAAATTTAAAAGACGTGAAAGTAAGAAATATAATACTTAGATTTCCTTATTCCAAACATACCTCTGTTTTCTTGTCATAGACAGATGCCCCAACATTATCAGAGTAGGTAGCAGGTACTTCATACCCAGATGGTTACAAATAATATTAAAAAAAAAAAACAAAAACAAAAAAAAACCCAAAAAAACCCCCAACACCAACCTCCCCCCCACACTCCCCCTCACGATTCCATTGAAATGCCACTTACTTCTTTCTTGTAATGGGTCTTGACAAGAAGAAGTTCATGCTGTGTGACTTTGAAAATGCCCTTTTCTGGCAGACAGCTTTCCTGCCAGTGCTACTTTTTGCTGGCTTTAAACAACAGGTACAGGGGCCAATTTAAAGTCTAGAAATTAACTAATTTGAGACGCACAGGCTCCCCATGAAGCAATTGTTCACTTGGATGGACATACTGTCTTCATTAATCCATGGATTTTGAAGAACTTAAATATTCAATGACTGAAGCACATTCTTTGCACTGTCAGTAACATAAGTGATGTGATTGTCCAAAAGAAAAAGCACATTTTGGCTTCAGAATGCATAGTGTGATATTCCAGCCCACACAGATGGGAATGCACAATATATACGCATGTACTAGGATTAAATTATACCCTGTGGAGAGGAGTTGGACAGGTTTAAAAGAAAGAGACATTTTCAATAGCCGTTGAACAGGATACTCTGAAGATGTGAATATATGCTTTATTCATTTTGTTGAAAATATGAAGATTCATTCTCTGCTTCCTTTGAAGAATTTTCATATTTTCTGCCCTCCCCACTAGCTGGTAGCTTATTTTTGTTCAAATTATTGGGTAACCTTGGTACTTCTCTGCCAAGCAGTTTGCTTAAGTGTGATAGAAATTCTTGCTACCTTTCAAATAGATTACATACTTTTTGTTTTAACAGTAGGGGAGCAATAGAAGACTAAGGAATAAAAGAAAGGAAAATTAAAATAAAGATCACTTCTTGTGCTTTAATATCTATAGAATTATTCTCAAAAATTAATTTGGAAAAAAATGAAAAAATATTTTTATTGTTCTATATTTTAAGATTACTGATCAGTCAATGATTTAATTTTTCCCCCTAGGTTCCTGCTAGTAATACAGACTCATTTTACAGATGAAAGATCTGACAACAGGTACCTCAAATTGGTGTAACTGTAACCGACTTCCAAATGAAGACTGGTACTAAACCCAAGACTAAAATATTAAACACAGAGCATCACAATCTTCATTATTTAGAAGGTAAACTTTCCTAGACTAAAACTGTAGCAACAGGAGGATAAGTTCAACCTCCTAAAATTTAAGCCTTAGAGGTGTTAATCAAATTTGTTTCTGTTTTCTAATCTAGCCTTGTCTCTATGCACTGTTCTTCCTCATGGACATAGATTTAGACTGATCTGGAGAGGTGCCTTAGATGGGAGAGTCTTTGACAGTTTAGCATTTGTAATTTGTGCTGTTGGCTGAGCACAAGTAAAATAATGAAAGCATGTATTCCACAAGCATGTCCTAAATTGAGCTTTTTCAAAAGAAACCTTTGAATTCCACTTCCATCCCCTCAAGAAATTACATTAAATCTTTCAGGAACTTACAGATGCCTACTTCTTCTTACAGAGTAAAATTTTTTCACAGTTTAACACACTGCTGGGATTAAATTTCAATCTATTTTTTCAGGTATGGAAAAAGGATGGACACTTGAGACTAAGTAAAATAGGGAGTAAAAAATTGTGGGAGGAGGGGACAGAGGGGACGGGGTGGGAACACCTTGGGACGATTGCATCAATCATTTGTAACCCCCTCCCTCCCTTCTAGAAAATTCCCTGTTCTCCTCTCTTTCATTGGACCTCTCCCCAAGAACACCTTCTCCCCACTTTTCCATTGGTGTACCCCCAATCACCCCACCTTGCCTCCACCTCCCTAGTGGTTGAATTGTACCCCGAACCTGCCTACCCTTTCCCCTTATAAACCCTGGTCCTGCCCTAGATTTGGGCTCTTGTGCCCCGACACCGGTCGCCTTCAGCTGTGGCTGTATCCCGCTCTCCTTCCCTCATTACACCCTCAGACTTCCCACTATTAAAGCCAGTTGGAACAGCACTGGTGCCTTCAAGTCCTCCTTCTCTCTGGCTGCGCCTTCAGATGGTCATCAGGGACTGTGTGTGCATGGAAGAGGCAGAGATGCTCCTCAGTGGGACCCGTCAAGGAGGGATCTGCCCACACCCACACAGAAATGGGGTTCCCGGCGAGGACCCCAAAAGGAAACCCGATAAAAAATGTTCAATTTTCATATAAAAATATTTTTGTAGGACAAACAGCACAGTTTCCAGTGACTGCTATGCTAGACTGTACAGACACTTTAGTCAAACAGAAGGAGAGAAGGAGAAGCAGACATGGAAACAGATGATCTGATAAGTCTGCCAACTGCTTATTCACTTCTTTTAATAACACCTAAAAGTAACAATCTGCTGTCTAGCTAACAGTATCCAATTTTATTCTGTAATTTTCTCTATGGGTGTGTTGTGTCATATTAAAATACTTGGTTATAAATCTGTGGTCCAGATAATCTGTGTTTGATTTAAAAAAAAAAAAAGGCATTTTGCTTTGCTGATATAGCTCAGATAACTCCTATTATGCTATTTACAGAGTGAGAGATCACTGTGCTGTATAATTAAAGCAGTACAAATAAACTAACTTTCCTGACAAAGTTTGAGTCTCATTATATTGGTACAGCACAGTTGCAATGCATTGGTTTTGATATCAGTATCAAAGGGCTGAGGTTGGAAGGGACCTCTGGAGGTTGCCAGGTCCAGCCATCCTGCTCAAGCAGGACCACCTAGATCAGGCTCCCCAGAGCAATGTCCAAATGGGCTTTGGAACATGTCCACAGCCTCCTGGGGCAATCTGTGCCAATGTTCAACCACCCTGACCCCAGTTATTTTTTCACAGATATTTCCTGTGAAAGGAACACCTGACATTCAGGTGGAACATCCTGTATTTCAGTGACAGTCTATTGCCTCAAGTCCTCTCACTGGGCATCACTGAAGAGATCCTGGCTCTATCTTCACACCATCCCTTCAATCACATTGATAAGATTGCCGCCAAGCCTTCTTTTCTTCAGATTAGAGAGTCACAGCTTCTCTCAGGCTTTCTTCATGTGTCAGGTGCTCCAGTCCCTTCATGTTTTTTTGAAGCCCATTGCTCTCCTTTCTCCAGTATATCCATGCTTCTCTTGGACTAAGGAGCTCAGAATTGGATATATGTGTGGCCTCAGCAGCCCTGAGTAGAGAATATGCACAGACAAGGTGTCATGGTATGAATTACATACCCCAACTTCATTAAAACATCAGCATCATGGGACAGAATACATCCTTGCATTATTTCAAGCACTTGGAATAAAGATAAAACTTCCATGTGAGTGCTACTCTGCATCCATGTGTTCCATTACATACAATGTTTTCTTGTTATTGTATGTCTGTTTCCAGTAAACCACATAATAATACTCCAAGATAAAGACCACAATACTCCTGTAACATTTCAGTTAGGATAAATGGTGAAAGGTTAAGGTATGAGATTTATATGTTCATAAAAAGCAGCTCTCAGTTATGAAGCAAAGTCTGTTAAATCTCCATTATGCCTCCAAGGAGGCAAAGGTTGAAATCTGGGGTTTAATCTACTCAGAACATAAGTAATCCACACAAGAAAGTTCAACATTAAGAAAACTCTTACTGTAGGGATATCTTAAAAAAAAACCAACTCAATCAAACCTAAATTCCAAAGGATTCAAGTATGAAATACCCAAAATACATTGCTAAACAAATGTATTTTTAAGTAGCTTAAATAACTGTACTACTCATTGAATTCTTTAAATGAAGTGAAGAAGATAGTTTTTCTCTCCTCTTGAAAAAATGATTTCTTGCTGGTGGTTTCTCCCACCAGAATACACACACACAAGTGTTAATATTATATTGTTCAAGGTTTCAAGGGCTTCAGTAAGGGTGAGGTACAAAAAACTCTAGCTCTTTAGAAGCTAGTAATTTTTATTCACTAGATGTCTAAATTTCATTTATGGTCAGTAAACAGAACCACAAACCAGAGTGAAATTAACCTAAAATCAGTGTAGAAGTTCTGTATTTCTAGAGGTTCTTATTTTGTGTAGAAGAAGACTTTATAAACTACTTAAATACTTAATTTTTAGATGGTAGCAAGATTTTAAGACGATAGAAGTTAAATAACATTTATCTCATTATTACTTTCTGCTTAGATGTATCTTGCTTGTTACAAGTATCCTTATGTAGAATGACAGAACTAAAAGAAATCTCAAAAGTTACAGCATTCCTTCTTTTATTTTCAAACCCCTTTTTCTAGCAAGCTCCAGGCACTCAAAGTAATTCAATGAATTTCTTTACTTTAGAATCTGATCAAAAGCCCAAAGTCAGTTGAAGGCATCCTGATAATTCAATGGGCTATAAATCCTATTAATATTTCCTATATTATCCTCATTGCTTTTTCTCTTATTTGGGATACCAAAGACTAGGAAAAAAATGTTATCTGAAACTACTATTTCAGTTCCTCTCCAACAAATAACTTGAAAAATGATAAAATTTATGAGTTAGGTTTCTTTTTCATTTAGATTTTCTTTTTAAGATGAATGTAATATACCCATATTGACAGTGATAAAATGTAATGGAATACTTTCTTTACTGTGATAAATAGAGACTCAAAAATAACCTTTTAGATCAGAAATTTTTCAATGACACTGTAAAATTTATTTATTTACTGATTAGAGGCATTATAAACTATCCATATATACTTTAAGTGGATAATGGTCTGAATTATTAGTTAAGATATTGGTATATCAGCTTCAAAATACCTTTCATTAAAGATCCTTTTATGATGGCTACTATTTTATTCTCTCATTTGAACCAAAAACTTCTTAAATAAGGCTGTATTTTCACTGCTGAAACAGACTCACAGTTATGGAGGAGAAATATATTTGGACTCCATTATTTCTCCACATAAATTTGGAAGAGAAAATCCAAGGCATTTTGGCTTGATTTGAAACTCGGATATTCATTTGACAAAATGTTCATAGCACTCCTGCTGATATCAAGCTACACTAGTGAGCCTAGTAGCAGATCTATTCTTATTATTTCCCAAGCTATTGGTAGTACAGGATTTTTCTAATAGATGAAAAGGTGAATTTCTTTGCTTTGTTAAGTTTTTGTTCATAAAAGTCTGTTAAGGTTGAGGAAGGCTTTCATCTTTCTTATTGATAGAGAATATGAGTAATGGATCATTAGACTGAAATACAGTAATAAAAAGCTGATAGTAGTTTCTCTAAGCCAAAAGAAAATAAGGCATGAAATAAGATTTAATATTCCAAAATACCTAAATGACTTAGGAACCTAAAATCAGTGTTTAGATGTATGTTATTTTCTGGTATCCTATATAGATCTGGAAAACAAGAATTATCACTTTTTGCTATTGGTCTCTGAATAGTCGTTCTGGACTCCCTGAATGGGACTCATCTCATCTTCCTTAAACATCTACATTGAATCTGAATTAATAAGCCAGGGCTCTCTTTATAGTTGGTAGAGAATAATAGGCACTCTCAGGGCGCAGTTCATCTGACCTACTTCAGATGCCTATTTTAGGATAAGAAGAATTGTGACCTAGAAGTGCTTGTTTCTCTTCTTTGACTTCTAGGGAGCCTGAAGTGATTAGCCCAGGTGCAGTCTTAATGTGTATGTTTAGCCAAATTAATTCCTCCTTTTTTCTGTGATTTATATCTTTGGGAATTTTGTGTACCAAAGTACTTATCCATACTTATCTGACTTTTCTCCATGAAAAGAATATCTATCTGTGCAAAAACATTCCTTGCATTAATGGTCATGTTAGTGCTTAAGCTTTCACCTTATTATCAGAAATATAATTAATTTGAAAAGGGATAAAATATAGCAATATAATTCCATATTTAGTGAAGTGAACAAACCTCTCAAAGTAAAATGTAAGTTATTGGAGTTCAAAGGCAACATGACATTATAAGTTACAATTAATACAAATAGACTAAACTCCCAGCTGCAGGTATTCATGGAGGAGATAATGAAAGATTATCTCTCTTTCACCCAACTCCCCATTATCTTTCTTAGGTCTGGTTCCCAAAAGTCACATGCCAAAATCTATATTAAGAACAAATCCCATTAAAAAAAACCAAAACAAAACAAAAAAAAACCAGCAGGGAAGAATGTACCTATCTTGTGGGGAGCTCTACTTGCATATTTTTACTCATCAATTGATGGAATAGAGTTCTGTTTGCCTTTTGCTCTGACTGACACAGCAGGAGGGGCCACCTGTGATGCCCTTTCACTTCAGGCCGCAGCTGTTCCTAGGAAGCTCTGGAAGAAAAAGCCAGAACAGGGAGGTGAACACAGTTATACTGAAGTATTAAAAATAGTTTAATATTTTTTATTATGCCTTTCCTCATACACACACCATTATTTATTACCTATTTTTCATTGGTCCAGCTGCTGCTTTAAAACTATTTACATATAACATGAGAGAAGTGAGCCAACCATGAATTGCTGAGGCAGGATGTACTGCCTGTATCAAGCAGCACATTTAGTCAAATAATGTGGCAACTTTTATAATTTGCTAATTATTCAGAGGAAGATCTCTGACAGAACTTTGCATATGGGGTTTAGAAGTCACTAAACAGTACTACTTAGTCAATAGCTAAGTTCAAAGTAAGTTATTAATGAAAAAAGCTAAGCAGATCTAGAAAAAAATGCAAAATTTGGGAAGGTTATGTCAAAGAGTTCAAAAACTGATAGCTTGCTTTTCTGCACTTTGTCTTTCAATTTATTTTTATATTTTATTCATTTATTTTAAAGATCACTTCTATTTAATTTTCATGATTCTTTCTCCTTCCTTTCATTTCTTTCCCAGTGCTCAGTTCTACCTGCTTACTGGATGGACATTTTTATGCTTGTCTATTTCACTCTTTGTTTTACTGACTCTTGATTGTATATGGAATGAGATCTGAGCACAGGACAATCTTTTCTACCCTGTCCTAGTTTCCATGGAAAAGAAAGCATGGTGGAAGCCTCTGCACTCTTCAAAGAGTTCAGTCTACAACTCAGAATTTCCTATTTCAGCAATGTGTGTGGCCAGCTAACAAACAGAACAAGGAGATGTGTATATTCTTCCAATATTTTTTTTCAGTTTTGAAATTTCATCTATATTCAGTGCTTGCAGCTAATACTCAGACCCCTCATGCCATGTAGCTGTCATACGAGTAATTATGTTACACCCAATCTTTATTTGTTTGGGAAAAGAAAATATTGCAGCTTTCTTTGGAGCCAACTACAGAACTGTATTGTTTTCTTATCTGCCCCTGGAATGAAACAGAATAAGTGTTTCTGTCCTTTCTTTTTTTTCTAATCCAAATATATTAGTTGAAAAATGTTATACTGGTTTAATGATGAATAAACTAGAATAATCCAAAACTTATTTATATTCATAATGGAATATATTCACATGCATTGTTTCTGTACTTTTTTTTCGGAGATTTGAGGTTTTATGTGTAAAAAGAACAAAAGACGTGCTCTGTTAAAAATAAATAACCTAAATCTGAGGTTGAAGATAATTTTTTCCATGAAATCACAAATT